TTCTAAAATTAGAAGATCTCTTCTGTCTTATAGGCAGGACAACCCGGCCCACAGTTTAGCTGATGTTCTCTAACTAGAGTGAGCTTTAATTTTATGGGGGACTCAGGGGTGCTAAAAGGGCAACGTAAGAAGAGAATATTTCTAGCTCAGGGATGATCTGTGGAGTCCTTCATGCTCTCTGAGCTTGCTGGTTGTCTTGCAGGAGTTTCATTACCTAACTGGATAACATCATAAGAATTAGAATTAGAATTAGAATTAGAATTAGAATTAGAATTAGAATTAGAATTAGAATAGAATAGAATAGAATAGAATAGAATAGAATAGAATAGAATAAAGAATGAATAGAATAGAACATAGAATATAGAATAGAATATAGAGTAGAGTAGAATAGAATAAAAATAAGAATAGAATGAAATAATATCAAAATAGAATAGAATGAAATATTGGAATATAAATAGAATAGAATAGAATAGAATAGAATAGAATAGAATAGAATAGAATAGAATGGAATAGAATAGAATAGAATAGAATAGAATAGAATAGAATAGAATAGAATAGAATAGACCTCTGTTTATAAGGGCTTCAGGTGTGGGTGTGTGGAGTGAGGGGCTTGTCATAGGCCAGGTGTGAGTCATCAATGAAAGGCTTGTGGTGGGTCTTGTGATGGGGAGGTCACATCAGGTCAGGGTCATTGGGAGGTGAACTGGTGGGAAGGGGGGCTTGTGTGGGATGATTGAGGGTCGGTGCCGTCTCTGGTTGGCTGTGTGGTTGATTTGGATTCTGAAGGGTTCGTAGCTTGGTTGTGGGTCAGTGGGTCTGTTAATGGAATTGCTTGTGGAGTGCCAGGTTTTGATGAACTCATGAGTGTGGTGGGTGGTAGCGTGGCCGATGATTTTAGTGTTGCTCCAATCAAACTGGTGATGTATATGCATCTATCTATCTATCTATCTATCCATCCATCCATCCATCCCTCTATGCATCCATCCATCCATCCCTCTATGCATCCATCCATCCCTCTATGCATCCATCCCTCTATGCATCCATCCCTCTATCCATCCATCCATCCATCCATCCATCCATCCATCCATCCATCCATCCATCCATCCATCCATCCATCTATCTATCTATCTATCTATCTATCTATCTATCTATCTATCTATCTATCTATCTATCTATCTATCTATCTATCTATCATCTATCCATCCATCCGTCTATCCGTCTGTCTGTCTGTCTGTCTGTCTGTCTGTCTCTGTCTGTCTGTCTGTCTATCCATCCATCCATCCATCCATCCATCCATCCATCCATCCATCCATCTCTGGCGATGTTACCTAGAGGGGCAATGAAATGTCTGCAAGAAAACCACCAAGTTCAGGGAAGCACCAAGGACCCCACAGAAGCATCAGGTACTCCGGTCACCATTTATATACACCCTCTCCTCCCCAAACTAGTTGACTTCTCTCTTTGGAGAAAGGAGAGGCTTCACTGGGCAAAGTAGCCCCACGCAGTATGATGGCATCAGAACACATCCCCCCCCCTTCTGTCCTGTAGGAACAGCCTCAGGCAGGGGTCTTCAAACTTGGCCACTTTAAGACTTGTGGACTTCAACTCCCAGAATAGGGCTGGCTGAGGAATTCTGGCAGTTGAAGTCCACAAGTCTTAAAGTGGCCAAGTTTGAAGACCCCTGGGCCTGAGGAGTTATCTATGGAGATGCTCAGTCCTCCAGGTCCTGGTTGTCCCAAAGGTGCTTTTCAAAAGGCAACTGGACTTTCTCGTTTGTTTGTTTTTTTCTGTGAAAACGAGAAGCGAAAGGTTTTCAAGGGGGAAAACAAAACCCCAAGGAAGTCTAGTTACCTTTTGAAAAGCACCTTTGAGACAGCCTAAAGAGATACTTCTCATGGCCCAGAGAACTTTGTCTCCCTCTCCCCCCCCCTTCCAGACTCTTCAACCGGTGGTCTCAGCTCTGCCCCTCCTTGTGGAGGTGGCTTTCTCATTCCAACAGGAATGTCCACCTTTCAGACCCAAGGACTTCCTCCGTAGGGGTTGTAAACGAGAAGATAAATGCCACCAGGATGTTTGTGGTGGCAAGCATTTTTTGAACAACACGAGAGAGAGAGAGAGAGAGAGAGAGAGAGAGAGAGAGTCGAGCTTATGTGTCTGTGTGTCTGTGTGTATTAAAATAGCCCCGACAAACACAAAAGGAGCCACAATGGTCCTCCAGCAGCTGCCAAGAAAACAAAGGGGAACTCAACAGCTAAAGAGCAGCTTGAAAAGGGAGACCTATAAAAGAATGGGTCACTGGGCTGCAGCTGGAGGGAGGAAGGCACCTGCCGGTGGTGGTGGCCGGTGGCCGAGGAGGTGCGTCCCTCCTCTGGACAGCTGTCTGATTGTTTGCTACACCTTTCCTGCGATTTAAATGCACCACCGCTTGAATCCAGGCCAAGCTTCCTGTTCCGTTAACCTTTGATTAGCCAGATGGCCAGTGCTGATGTTTGCCTGTATGTCACACACACCCCCTCCCCAGGGTTGTGGGTTGACCGCCGGGGTGACACGGGCTGGTTTTCGCCCCAAGGCCAAAAAACAAAAAAAAAGAATAAAAATAATTGTTTTTCCCACCTGGCAGAAGTAAAGTTGCAGCTTGGCTGGGGATAATTTCCTGTTGTTCCTGATCTTAGCAATCTGATTCAGAGAGGGGTTTGCTGCTGGAGTCCAAATGTTTGAGGCTGGAGTTGGTGGGGAGGGGGGGATTTTTCTGCTCACCAGTCCATTTGGATGGTTGCAATATAGAGTGTAGAATAACAGAGTTGGAAGGGACCTCCAGTGATGAAGCCCCCTACAACTTCTGGAGGCCAGCTGTTCCACTGGTTGATTGTCCTCCCTGTTCTCCTTAATTCCAGATTGCTTCTCTCCTTGGTTAGTTTCCCTCCGTTGCTTCTTGTCCTGCCTTCAGGCGCTTTGGAGAATAGCTTGACTCCCTCTTCTTTGTGGCAACCCCTGAGATACTGGAACGCTGCTATCGTGTCCCCCCTCGTCCTTCTCTTCATTAAATTAGACATAACCAATTCCATCAACCTTTCCTTATATGTTTCAGCCTCCGGTCCCCTGATCATCTTTGTTGCTATTCCAAGTGTGGCTGTGCCAATGCCTTATAAAATGGTGTTAACACTTCACGTGATCTTGATTCTATCCCTCTATTAATGCAGCCTAGAACTGTGTTGGCTTTTTTGGCAGCTGCAGCACACGGCTGGCTCATAGTTAAGTGATTGTCCACTAGGACTCCAAGATCTCAATCTCTCTATTGAGAATAGTATACCTGTTACATTTGGTTTTTCTTGCCTAAATGTAGAACCTTACTTTTTTCACCATTGAATTTCATTTTGTTAGATAGCGCCCAGTGTTCAAGTCTGTCCAGGTCCTCCTGTATCCTAAGCCTGTCTTCTGGAGTGTTGGCTATTCCTGCCAGCTTGGTGTCATCTGCAAATTTGATGAGTTCCCCATCTATCCCCCCATCCAAATCATTGATGAAGATGTTGAAGAGTACTGGGCTGGCTGGGGAATTCTGGGAGTTGAAGTCCACACTTTTTGAAGTGGCTAAGATTGAGAAAGGCTGATTTAGACCGCAGAGACCAATCCTTGGATGATGGCTTTTGCCGCGGATATTCGCGGTGTCTGCAAAACGGCAGTTGGTGACTGATGAATCGCAGGGATGGGGCTCCCGTGTTCAGGCTTTACTCCCGAAGTTGGAATTTGCTTAAATGCTGCCTTGGCTTAATTGAATTTCATGGGCTTGTAGTCAACGTCCGATGAGATCATGGTACGGTCGGTTACTCACGGGGAGCTCAGGAGAGAAAAAGGCAAGACGCGAAGATGATAAACAGGACCGGTTTTATTGAACCTCCGTTTCAACCTAATCGTCCCTTTTCAGGGTGCTTAAAATATACTGGTTTTTATTGGCGCAATCTAAAGCTTTGCTGATTTCAGTAGCAGAAATAAGCGCTGCCGGTACCAAAATGTCTCTCCTATCACTGGATTTTGTTACTTTCCCAGTAATTAATCAAGTCTAACTTTCCCATGGCGGTGAAGCAGTTGTGCAGCTCCGAACATAATGCTTACTGCTTTACAGGTAGTCCTCAATTTACAGCCATTCCTTTAGTGACCGTTTGAAATTACAATGGCGCTGAAAAAAGGGACTCATGGCCGTTTTTCACAGTGAACGACCCTTGCAGCATGCCCATGGTCATGTGATCAACATACAGAAGCTTGGCAACGGACTCATATTTATGACAGTCGCAGTGTCCTGGGGGGGGGTCACGCGATCCCCTTTTGTGACCTTCTGACAAGCAAAGTCAATGGGGAAGCCAGATTCACTTAACAACCGTGTTAAGGTTGACTCAGTCTTCCATCCTTCCGAGGTCGGTAAAATGAGGACCCAGATTTGGGGGGGCAAATATGCTGACTCTGTAAACCGCTTAGAGAGGGCTGTAAATAGCACAGTGAAGCGGTATATAAGTCTAAGTGCTATTGTTATTCTTCCTTCCCTCCTTCCTTCTTTCTCTCCCTCCCTTTTCTCCCTTCCTTCCTTCCCTCCCTTCCTTCCTTCCTTCCTTCCTATTCACCCAATTTTACCTTTTTTGCCATGGTTGTTAATCGAATCCCTGCAGATGTTAAGTGAACCATACGGTTGCTAAGCGAATGTGGCTTCCTCCATTGACTTAGCATGTCAGAAGCCAGCTACAATTAGCAGTCACACGACCCTGGGATGCTGCAATGGATGTAAAAAACACCATTCCCATGACCTTGGGAATGCTACAGTGATTGTAAGTGTGAGGACCGGTTGGCTGTATATCACTTTTTCAGTACCGTTGTAATTTTAGTGTCGCAGTCACTAAATGAATGGTTGCAAGTGGAGGTCTACTTGTATTCCCAGTTCGGTGGAAAGATTATTCAGAGAAGAAACTGAGGAATTTTTTTTTGACTCCTGCACTTTTTTTTGACTCCTGCAGGGTGCTGGAACAGCCATTGGAGAGCTGCCTCCGTACTTCATGGCCAGAGCAGCCCGACTGTCCGGAGCCGAGCCAGACGACGAGGAGTACCAGGAATTTGAGGAGATGTTAGAACACGCACAGGGTGCACAGGTAAGGAATCCACGGTACAAAAGCACGCCACGGACAGCGCGATGGCAGTGGTTCCCAGTGCGCCCCGACACACCACATTATTGTGGCACCTTTAATGTATCAATCAATGAATTAATCAGAGTAGAACTGGAAGGGACCTTGGAGGTCTTCTAGTCCAACCCCCTGCTCAGGCAGGAGACCCTATACCAGAGGTCCCCAACCTTTTGGGCATCAGGGACCAGTTCCATGGAGAAAGGTTTTTCTGCGGACAGGAGAGTGTGTGGTTTTGCGTGCGGCCTGCATCCCACGGATGGGGCTTTGCTTGTTTGTGCGGACCAGTTGCTGGCATGCCACGGCCCGGTGCTTGTCCACAGACTGGGGGGTTGGGGACCCCTGCCCTATACCATTTCAGAGAGATGGCTGTCCAGTCTTTTCTTAAAAACCTCCAGTGATAAAGCACCTGCAACTTCTGGAGGCAGGTTGTCCCACTGGTTAGTTGTCCTCACTGTTAGGAAGGTTCTCCTTAATTCCAAATTGCTTCTCCCCTTGATTAGTTTCCATCCATTGCTTCTTGTCCTACCTTCAGGTGCTTTGGAGAAAAGGTTGACCCGCTCCTCGTTGTGGCAGCCCCTCAAATACTGGAAGACTGCTATCATGTCCCCCCCTAGTCCTTCTTTTCTCTAGACTAGCCAAACCCAAATCCTGCAAGCGTTCTTCATACCGGTATGTTTTAGTCTCCGGGCTCTTAATCATCTTAGTTGCTCTGCTTGCACTTTTTCCAAAGTCTCAACATCTTTTTTGTAATAGAGAGAAACTTGCGTATATTTATCGTGGTTTTTATTATCGCCTGTTCACCGCCCTGAGTCCCGTAAGGGAGATAGGGCGGTATATAAATTCAGTAAATAATAATAATAATAATAATGTGGTGTCCAAAACTGGATGCAGACTTCGGACCCTTTTATATGAGAGTCAAGGTTAAAGACGCTGAGCTTGTTAGCTGGAAAGCTGATAGGCCGGGTTCGAAACCTGCTGATAGGCCAGGTTCGAAACCTGAGCGCTGCGGGACAGGGTGAGCTCCTGTTCCTTACCCCAGCTCCAACTGACCTAGCAATTTAAAAGCCTGCAAATGCAAGTAGATGAATAGGTACCATTTCGGTAGGAAGGTAACAGCGTACAGCCATGCTGCCACATGACCACGGAAATGTCTCCAGACAACTCTGGCTCCCTCGACTGAGAAACAGATGAGTACCCCCATCCCCCCCCCCACTAGAGTTGGACACGACTGGACAGGGGAAACCTTTACCTAGCTAACAAAATTAAATTCAGTGGTGAAAAAAGTAAGGTTCTACATTAAGGCAAGAAAAATCAAATGTACAGGTATAGTATAGGGGGTACCTTGCTCAATAGTAGTAACTGCAAGAGGGACTTCGGAGTCCTAGTGGACAATCACTAAAATATGAGCCAGCGGTGTGCTGCAGCTGCCAAAAAGGCCAACACAGTGCTGGGCTGCATTAACAGAGGGATAGAATCAAGATCAGGTGAATTGTTAATACCACTTTACAATGCCTTGGTAAGGCCATACTTGGAATACTGCATCCAGTTTTGGTCACCACGATGTAAAAAAAGATGTTGAGACTCTAGAAAGAGTACAGAGAAGAGCAACAAAGATGATTAGGGGACTGGAGGCTAAAACATAAAAATGGTTGCTGGAATTACGTACGTCTAATTTAATGAAGAGAAGGACCAGGGGTGACACGATAGCAGTGTTCCAATATCTCAGGGGCTGCCACAAAGAAGAGGGAGTCAAGCTATTTTCCAAAACGCCTGAAGGCAGGACAAGAAGCAACGGATGGGAACTAATCAAGGAGAGAAGCAACCTCGAACTAAGGAGAAACTTCCTGACAATTAGAACAATTAACCAGTGGAACCACCTGCCTCCAGAAGCGGTGAATGCTCCAACACTGGAAGTTTTTAAGTAGAGACTGGACAGTCATTTGTCTGAAATGGTATAGGGTTTCCTGCCTGACCAGGGGGTTGGACTAGATGACCTCCAAGGTCCCTTCGAACTTTTTATTATTATTATTATTATTATTATTATTATTATTATTATTATTAGTAGTAGTAGTAGTAGTAGTAGTAGTAGTAGTAGTAGTGAGTCAGCGGCCACAGAGGAACTTGGGTGAGAACTGAGAAGCCACAGAAACTCCCTGGAGGACTTTGGGCTGGTGACTGTCCACCTGGAGGATTTTGGACCACTGATCTCAACCTGGAGGACTTTGGATCATTGACCTCTACCTACAGGACTTTGGACCATTGACCTCTTCCAGCAGGACTTTGGGCCATTGACCCTCAACCTGGGGACTTTGGGCTGGTGACTGTCCACCTGGGGGATTTTGCACCACTGATCTCAACCTGCAGGACTTGGGACCATTGACCTCAACCTGGAGGACTTTGGACCACTGACCTCAACCTGGGGACTTTGGGCTGGTGACCGTCCACTGGGGTGAGCTCACTTTGGACCCGTGAATCACAGCTCCAGAACCTGGTAGGATAGTGGGGAAGAAATGCTACATGCACTTGGGATAGTTTCAGATTCTAGTCTCCCGTAAGCCCCCAAATCTTCCCAAAGAATCTTGGCCCAGTTGATCTGTTTCGGTCCCAGATCCCGTGAAAGAGTTGGACAAGGAATGGGGAGACCCAGACACTCGTTCTACCTTAGCCACAGAAACTTCCTGCGGGACCCTGGGCCAATCCCTCCCTCTCAGCCACAGAAGCAGTGTGGGGTGGTGGGAAGGAACCGGCTTGGGGGGGGGGGGAGATCCTGGTTCTGTTTCCCCCTTCAGCCTGAGGGATATTTGGCCAGTGATTCTCTTGGCTTAGACCAGGGGTCTCCAAACTTGGTCCTTTGATGACTTGTGGACTTCAACTCCCAGAATTCCTCAGCCAGGCACGCTGGCTGAGGAATTCTGGGAGTTGAAGTCCACAAGTCATCAAAGGACCAAGTTTGGAGACCCCTGGAGCCTTAGACCAATATTTTCTCACCCTCAGCAACTTCAAGATATGTGGACTACAGCTCCCAGAATCCCTCAGCCAGCAAGGCTGGCTGAGGGATTCTGGGAGTTGGACGTTCACATGTCTTCAATGGGTTAGTCTGTGGGTCTGTCTTGTGGTGGAACTGGTAAAAATGACCTGCCAATAAATTTAAATCAATGCATAATTCTCATCATAATTGCCCTGAGGAATGGAGACTAATAACGACGTGCACATTGGCGAATAGGACCCTGAGCTGGGTTAGGTTGACTCCGATTGTGTACCAATCTTGATGTGCTCTTTTTTTTGGGGGGGGGGGAATTGTGTTCTTGATTTCCTGCTGTCTCTGGAGAGAATCACACTTTACTGGAAGCCACCAGAGATCTGTGGGCCAGCCACATGCGTTAATCCCCCAGCGAAGAAAGTTTTGCACGTGAATCCTGAGGAAAAGGGAGCCAGAGGCAGCCGCAGAAGCAGCCTGGCGTCATTCTTCTCGGGTCAGCTCCTGGGCGGCTGTGCTGGCTGGCCCTTGCTCTGTGTGGAGCAGTCAAAGCCCTTCTCTTTGTTTACTCCTTCCCAGTCCTCTCCAGTCTTCCCCCTTGACGGAGCAGAAATGTTGAAAGGGGTTATGGCATATCCTAAACTTCAAAGGGACTGAAGATTGCAGAGCAAGTTCTTGATCCAGGGAGTCTGGACTTACTTGCTTACTTGCCCTTCTTTCCTTCCTTCCTCCCTCCCTCCCTCCCTTTTTTCTTTCTTCTCTATCTCTCCAACTTTCACTTCTTCCTCACTTCCCATTCTTTCTTTCTCTCTCTTCTTTCTTTCCTTCTTTTTTCTTTCCTTCTTTTTTCTTTCTTTTCTCCTTTCCTCCCTCCGTTTCTTTCTTTCTCTCTCTTTCACACTTTTTCGCTTCTTCCTCTCTCTCTTCCTTCCTTTCTTTTTTTCTTTCTTTCTTTCTTTTTCTTTCTTTTTCTGTCTTTCTTTCCTTCTTCTCTCTCCCTTCTTTCTCTTCTTCCTCCCCACTAGTTCTTTTTCTCTCTCTCTTTCACACTTTTTCGCTTCTTTCTCTCTCTCTTCCTCTTTCTTTCTTTCTTTCTTTCTTTCTTTCTTTCTGTCTTTCTTTCTTTCTTTCTTTCTTTCTTTCTTTCTTTGTCTTTCTGTCTTTCTTTCCTTCTTCTCTTTCCCTTCTTTCTCTTCTTCCTCCCCACTAGTTCTTTCTCTCTCTCTTTCACACTTTTTCGCTTCTTCCTCTTTCTTTCTTTCTTTCTTTCTTTCTTTCTTTCTTTCTTTCTTTTTTCTTTCTGTCTTTCTTTCTTTCTTTCTGTCTTTCCTTCTTCTCTCTCCCTTCTTTCTCTTCTTCCTCCCCACTAGTTCTTTCTCTCTCTCTTTCACACTTTTTTGCTTCTTCCTCTCTCCTTCTCTTCCCTCTTTCTTTCTTTTTCCCCCTTTCTGTCTTTCTTTCTGTCTTTTCTTCTTCTCTTCTCTCTCCTCTTTCTCTTCTTCTTCCCCACTAGTTCTTTCTCTCTCTCTCTTTCACACTTTTTCGCTTCTTCCTCTCTCTTCTTCTCTTCTCTCTTTCTCTTTCTTTTTCTTTCTTTCTTTCCTTTTTTCTCTTTCTTTTTCTTTCTGCCTTTTTTCTTTCTTTCACTCTTTTTTTCTGTCTTTCTGTCTTTCTTTCCTTCTTCTCTTCTCTCTCCCTTCTTCTTTGTCCCCACTAGTTCTCTCTCTCTCTCTCTCTCTCTCTCTCTTTCTCCTCTGAACATTTTGCTGATTGTGGTTAGTCTGGCCATCACATGGTTTCTTTGAAAATTCCCCCTCCCCTCCATTTCCAGTAAACTGTTTGAACAGAGATGACTCAGTATGAAACCAGCTTCCCTGTAACCACAGGACTTGTCAAAAGAATTTGTCAACGTGGACTGGGGTTGGGGAGGGGGGACTGTGTGTGTGTGTGTGTGTGTGTGTGTGTTTCTCACATTCAACTTCAGCTTCTG